ACAGTGATGATGATGCTGACGATGACTATCATGATGAGGGTAATGATGATGGCGATTATGATGATGATGATGATGATGATGATCATGATGATGATGATGATGCTGATGATGATGATGATGATGTCGATGATGCTGTTGATGGTGATGATTGCGATGATGATGCTGATGCTCATTGCGATGATGATGACGATGATCCTGATGAAGATGCTGATGATGATTGTGATGATGCTGCTGATGATGATGTCATGATGACGAAGACGATTATCCTGTTATTGGTGATGATGATGATGATGATGATGATGGTGGCGGTGGTGATGATGATGATGGTTATGGTGATCGTGATGAGGATGATGATGAGGATGAAGACGAGGATGATGATGACGATGATAATGATGATGATGGCGATGGTGATGGTGATGATGCTGCTGCTGATGACGATCGGGATGATTAGTAGGATGACGATGATGAAGATGCTGATGTGATGGTGATGATGATGGTGATCATGATCATGATCATGATCATGATCATGATCATGATCATGATGATGGCCGTGGTGATGAGAACGGCATTCGTGATGACGATGATGGTGATGGTGGTGGTGATGATGATTCTGATGATCATGATCATGATCATGATGATGGTGATGATGATGATGATGATGATGATGATGAGTATGAGGATGATGATGGTGATGGTGATGGTATTTATGATGACGAGGATGTTATAATGATGCTGAGAGGATGATGCTGATGCTGATGATGATGGTACTGGTGGTGGTGGTGATGATGATGATGATGATGATCATGCTGATGATGATGATGATGGCGGGAGCCGTTGTTGTTTTGACTCGGGGTGACAGCCCCGGGGTGATTGCTGGTGACAGTTACTTCTCCAGCTGCTTAAGCGTGAGTACAGCATGAATCGCGAGTCTCCAGCGACAGCGCGATTCCCAAGTATATCGTGAGATCGGCCAAAGCGCGATTCCAGAGTGTCGAGGGCGCGGCGGCTGAATAAGTTGCGAGGGAGCCCCACGCGAGAGCTCGATGTTTGCATACGTTGTGAGGGCGTCCCGCGCGGGAGCACGATTTGATAATACACTGTGAGGAAATATCAGGCCGGAGCAGTTGAAATTGTAACTCGGGGGCCAGGGGCACAATTCTGAGACCCGAGACTTCCCCTGATTAAAAGTAGGGTGCGATCCCCGTGAAGGGCTCTTCACTGTGCCCCAGAGGGGGGATCGACAATATCTATTTCTCAGTAGTGGGATGTCAACATCAGCAACAACAATCATTCAAGACTGTTCGCTTTTACCTGCCCGCGTGCCATTCAACGCGTCTATCCCAAACCCTCGTAACCCGCCTTTTTCGTCGTTGTTCGCCCCCCCTTTGGGGTATACCTTTCTTACATGTCACGTGGCAGCCCCTGAAACAGGGGAAGAGGACGGATGGAAGGGGGATGGAGAAGGATGGAGCACGGGATTGGCAGGGGGGGCGAGGAGCAGAGAACACGTGGCAGAACCAGACGGGCCCATCGGGGGGGGGGGTAGACCCCAACGGCCGGGTCGGGAAGGCGGGCCCCAAGCGGACAGGTCGAGAAGGCGTGCTGCTGAAGCGTGAGTATTGCATGCATCGCGAGGGGAGCTTGAGCGGCAGCTGGGTTAACTTGTAAGAAAGGCTCAATCGAGAGCGTGATTCCTGAGTGTCGAGGGCGCGGCACGTCCGAACATGTTGCGAGGAAGTCCCACGCGGGAGCTCGATTTCTTCTGCATACCCTGTGCAGACGTCCCGCGCGACAGCGCGACTTCGGAACAAATTGTGAGGAAGGTTCCGGCGGGAGCAGTTACAAATTGTAACGCGGGGGCCAGGGGCCCAATTCTGAGACCCAAAACTTGCCCTGGTAAGATACACGGCGCGAGCCCCGGGAGGGGAGCTTCAACTCAAAAACACAATGTGCCCCAGGGGGGGCTTCAACCTTATTTGTTTTCCATAATGAGAATTCAACAACAACAACAACAACAACAACAACAACAACAACAACAACAACAACAACAACAACAACAACAACAACAACAACAACAACAGCAGCAATAGCAGCAGCAATAGCAATCATTCGGATTTTGTTCGCTCCGATCAGTTCGAGTGTCATTCAACATGTATTTCCCAAACCCTCGATACACGCCCTCTTCGTCTTCGATCGTGCCCCTCTTGGGGGGGTTATCTTTCTTTCCTGCAGGCCGGGCGGGCCCCGGCAAGCGGCGGGGCGGCCGCGGACCGTCGGCCTGGCCAACGGCAGCGCTGATCGGCGGCAACCCGGCCCCAAGAGGGACGGACACGGGACCGACCACGACGACGACGATGACGACGACGGCGGCGACGACGACGACGGCGACGACGACGACGGCGACGACGACGACGAGCGAAAGCGAGAGCGAGAGCGAGAGCGAGATCGACAGCGGGGCCACGAAGGGCAGGACGGGGGTCACGATGGGCGACAGCGGGGC